AGCACCCCTCTGGGTCCTGTGTCTAGTCATTTTATCAGCCTGTGCATTAAGGAGCAACACTGCACGAGGGTAGGAATATAAACATGCTTTACAATTCTCAGCTCCCTATCATAAGAATACTTCCTGAGTGGATGTAAATTTACAACAGGTGCTTATCAAATGTGAAAATGCTTGCAAATCAGAAGCAAACTTAAGGGCTGGGAACATATTTCAGGGATGGCTTTTGCAAGGGCTGAGCTCGACGCCGAGCTGTAATGTTGCTCCTCTCTGGTTTCTATGTGAGGTGTCTTTCTTTAGTTTGCCACAGGGAGAATTATGAGGGTTGAGCCTCAGACTCTTGGCGTTAAGATGCAGATTTGTTTAATGAAATCCATATTTACCGCCGGGGCTCAAATACAGCTAATACGCCCTGAATTTCAAAGGAGAGATCTTTACATCGAGAGCTAATATTTCCATTAATTGTGTTTCTACCAGAAGGCCGGTTCCTCTAACCATCTTTGCAGAGTAAACTGTATCTGTAATAGAAATGTTTTTCAACTCTCTCCTTCTTGATGGCTACAATGTATTGTATCTGTAAAATAACAGGTCGCTTCTTTTCGTGGTTTGCTGGCTGTCAATGGTGGAATTTTCCATTCTAACTAGATTTCGTGTGTTTTTTTTTCTGAATTGCAGGGTTTTTTTTTTCTGTTTCAAAATAGTCCCCACCCCTCTTGCTCCCCAAATCTTTAAGATTTGCCCATAAGATGTACTTGTTGTGCACGGAGTAATTAGCCTGTTATGGAGATATTAATTAACATGTTGGGAATGTTTTCTTTATTAATGAGAAATTCACACATTCCATTTAAATTAATTTGTATAGTTTAAAATTAATTTATTGTGGCCTTTGATGACCTCAAATCTACTAAGACAAAACCGGAGTATTGTACTAACTGTTAAACCATTCATTAAACATTTTATGCAAATAGTGTTTGTTTATAAACAAATTAACTGCAAGGATTTTCAAAACAGGTGCTGTGTTGTGAATGCGTACTAAATGATGTGGTACTGGAAGAATTAATTAGACCTTCAGATGTAATTAGTTGCAATAATTTGCGTGATTAGCGGCTTGGTTAAGAAGTAAGACACACACATTGTAATGCATGGGGGACTCACTGCAGTAGCTTTGTTTTTTCAGATAGTGAAGATGAGCCTTCTCCACGTTTAGGAAATTTTTCAAAAAATTGCTGACATAGCTGGAGTTAATTGCCAAGTATCCTGTGGGGGGTAATTTGGGTGGTGGTGGTGGTGGTTGTCTTTTCTCCCCCTCCTTTCTCTATTGGCTCTCTCCAACGTGAAGCCACCGGATGTAATGCTGTTTGTTTGCGCCTTTATGAATTTTTAAAAGAGAAAGTTGTTAACCCCAGATCTTTTCATCCCCAGAGGAGATGACGATACTTAACACTTTGAGGGTTAAAAGACAGAACACGATGATTATAAGCCAAATGAAACATGTCCTGTGTTTCAAGATCTGCTGTGATCGCTCAGGGAATAGCTGCAGTCTTTTTTTTTTTTTGACATTGCAGTGGAAGTGTCTCTTCAGTTCTTTCAGAAGATGGGCTGCCACTGTGAACAGTTTAGTTTGATGGGCCACGGAAACTGGTAATTGTCACCGCTGATGGCTTGTTTACATGAAGCGGGTGTTCTAGAGGCCAGAGCCCTGGGCTTATTCTCCAGGGCCATGTGGCTGGGAGATGGTTCTCACAATCTGGGGACTCTCAGACCCCTAACCTCTATGCTAGGAGACTGTATACAGCACGGTCTTGCTTTGCAGACTCTGTAAAAAATAGACCAGAATTATCTCATGCCTTAATTCACTCCAAAACATCGGTGTGCTTACACCAAGGCCCCGTGGTAGGCAGGCTGTGAGGTTGCAGTAGTGATTAATACAGATGAAGTTCCTCCCCGATGGAACTTCATTTAGTGGGGAGGAAAACAAGTAAATAAACAGAAGATGGGTTTCCGTTAATTTCAGCCATAAAAAGATATGGACTTGGCTGCTTTCTCTTTTTTCACGTGTAAAATTCCTGAAGTCTCTCTGAACACCTGTCAGTCTTGAGGCCTCACTGGGCAATGGTGTCATCCTTTACTGGAAGGGATAGGGTGGGCGTAGTGGGTGGTCAGTAGGGGGGGGCAGGGTCCTGAAATGTGTGTGTGGGTGCGTCTACCATTCGTGAAACTGTGAGGTAACTTGAGAGACTTGAAATATACAGTTTCACATCTCAGGAAGCCTCCTTTACCCGGGGAGACTTGGGTTGGCTTGTCCCTGACTCCCAGGCCGAATGACCTTGGGCAGGACTGGGATGATATCTGAGTCTCCTTCCAGCTCTAGAAATCAATAATTCTGCTCCTGGCCTTGGAGAGATGGAGAATGTAGGGATGAAAACGTGTGAGTTTCCACCAGACCACAGCCTTGCCTCCCCTGATTTCCTTCTTGGTGTTTGATTCAGTTCATCCTCATTTTCAGCTGGTGTTTGCAAAAGCAGTCTTTAAAATAGGCCCTTCGTGGATGATGTTTGAACTTGAGCAAAATTAACATTTGTGTGTCATCGGCAGCCACAGTGCATCACTCTGGGCAGTGAAGGATGAAAAGTCAAAGAATGTGGGGCCACTTGATTAAAAGGAACAGTGAAGTCGAGGCCGGAAAGACGGATATGCAGAGCCGGCCTGTTAATTTATGTGGACTCGATTCCAATTGCCAAGGAACATTTTTTTTCCCCTTCTGAAACTTTTAAGAAATTAGGTTTTAAAGCTGAACCGGTGCACCACTCAACTTAAAATAGAAGAGAATTTGATTTTATAGGGTGCCTTTCACATCCTGGCACTCTGTAATATTGCCCATCAAGAGCTCCCGGCTGCAGGGTGGCTGGGAGGCAGGGCTAGTTTGAACACTCCCTGAGAAGGTGATGAACGGCCTTCCCGCTTGCCAAACACTTGCAGAAGAGCTGCCTGTGGGGTTTTGAGGCCCCTGTACACTGGGCCTTTGCATGTCTCTCCCCTCCTTGGGCTGTGATCGCTGAGCAGATGGAGCCTTAGGAACCCACCAATTGTCCTGTGCGTGCAAATACCATCTTGCAAGACTCAACTTGACTGTTGTATCCTACCCAGCCAGGCATCAGCCATAGTTTCTCACTCTGAAGGAAACTTTCTGGCAGCATTACACATCACTGTGTTCTGCTGTGTGTGTCCTCAGGAAAATAACTGGCCTTTACTGAGCCTCCCTCGGAGAATGGAATCACAGCCGTAGGGTTGCCGAGAGGCACAGAGAGAGAGAGCTCAAACCAAGGGCCCACCATGCAGGCTGTTTTTTTGCTTTACTTTTTTTTTTTTTTTTTTTTTTTAAAGACAGCATCTCACTCTGTCGCCCTTGGTCAAGTGCCATAGTGTCTTCATAACTTGCAGCAACCTCAAACCCTCAAGTGATCCTCCTGCCTCAGCCTCCCAAGTAGCTGGGACTATAGGTACCCACCACAACACTCAGCTAGAATTTGATACCTTTTAAAAAGAGAATACATTTTTTTTTTTTTGAGCCAAAGTCTTACTTCATCACCCTGGGTAGAGTCCTGTGTCATTATCATAGCTCACAGCAATCTTCATTTCTTGGGGTCAAGGGATCCCCTTGACTCAGCTTCCCAAGAATCTGGGAATACAGGTGCCTGCCTTGATGCCCGGCTAGTTTTTCTATTTTCAGTAGAGACAGGGTCTCACTCTTGCTCTGTCTGGTCTTGAACTCTTGAGCACAAGCAATCTAATCACCTGGGCTCCCAGAGTCCTGGGGTTACAGGTGTGAGCCACTGCACCCAGCTGTGTGCAGACTCTTAATAAAAGTCAGCATGCAGCTGTGTTCCCTCCATACCTAACTGACAGACCCCAGACAGATGAAATCTATCCCGCCCCCAGCTGGCCTTGCTGTGTTTCTCCCCTGGGCTGGAAGAGGACTGGTGACTAGTCTTTATGTCTGTATGTGAGGTATTATTAAAACCCCAACTGCAATTGTTGTTGACTTCTGAGAACATACATGTTGATCATATCCCACGAAGATGACCCACATAAAGACGTGGCTGTTCTTGCCGTCAGTATATTACTATTCTTTGGTGCCTCAGTTTCCCCAACTGTAAAACGAGCAGTTCTTGTGCATTTGAGTTCCTTCCTACCTTGATACTTCCTGAGCCTATCTTTAGATCCCTCCCTCCCTCCAGAGGGATGTATTAAAAAACATGGTTAAGAATAGACCTTGTATTTAAATTTGAAGAGAATTCTAGTCAAATAATGTGCTCAGATAATTTCTACGTAAGCATGTTTGGGGTAAAATATATATATATATATAATTGTATTTATATATTTGCAGTCTTTTTTTTGACATTGCAGTGGAAGTGTCTCTTCAGTTCTTTCAGAAGATGGGCTGCCACTGTGAACAGTTTAGTTTGATGGGCCACGGAAACTGGTAATTGTCAGTCAAAATTGTGCAGTCAAAAAAGACTGCAAATACATAAATATATATATAAATATATATATATTAAAATGTATATATATATATATATTTTGAAATGGGGAGATTCCCTTAGATGTAGGAAGCTGGAACTGAAGATGAGTTATATGGAAGAAGGAGGTTACCTATCCAAAGAAATCTAAGACATTGTTTAGGGTCTGGCTGCCTGGGACTCAGAAATGGTGACTCTTTGTTGGGAGGGGTTGGGCGCAGTTCTAAAGGGGACATAGTCCGGATGAGAATGATTAATAGGATCACTCATCTTCAGAGACCCAGGAGATCTTTAGCACCTCCGGATATATGAGGCTTCTATTGAAGTTTGTATCAGGGAGATGCATCTGGGGTTTTAGTTCATTTCACACCACTGGAGGCAACCTTGAGGGCTGGCTGGAAGGGGCCTGAGGTGGCCGCAGAGAGTCCTGGGGGCAGAGAAGCAAGGTCCCTGCTTTATCACCTCGGGGGACTTGGTGTTCTGGGCTGGTTTATGGAAAGCATAAGAGTGCACGGCTGCTGTGGTCACAAGGCAGCCCATCGAGGTGACAGTTTCCCTTGATGGCTGCCGTTCTGTTTGTGGCTACTGATCTGCAACATTTTGGGGAAAATACAGTTTCTTCATACCTGTCATTCCTCAGGTATAGCCAGAGACCTTCTGTGGGATGGGCATGTTCCCACAAACCAGCAGAAAGGAGGGCCTTGCACGTATGGTCAACCAGAATAAGGCTTTGGAGAAGTAACTAGCTGAGGCCAGGAACCAACACAGAGGCTGTTGGGATGGGTTGGATGTGTGTCTGGGAAATCCAGGGGCAGGTGACACATATAACAATCTGTGGTCACTTAACGGAAAGCTTATGGTATCAATAGAGGATGAAAGGCCCGCCAGACCCTAAGGTTCTGGGGACTAAATGAAGGGACCAAGGAGATCATTCAGATCCAAAGCAAACAAACAAAAACTGACCAAACAAGAAGGAAAGTCTGGCTCGAATGGCATCGGTCCTGGGTGTCAGTGTCCCCTGTATCACTTTATCTGACTGGGTGACCTCCCCGGGCCTCAGTTGCCGTCTTCAAATATTGATACGATGTGATCTCTACCTCGCTTGGAGCTGTGAGAACATAGGCTCAGGACGTGCAGGGAGCAGGCCCTCAACAGGCGCACGTCCTTCCCTCTGGTCTTCCAGGGACCCTTTCTGCCTGGGGCCTGACATTTCCTGCCTCCTCTGCCCCTCTCCTCATCTTATCGAAGAGCCAGCTGCTTTGCAAAGGGGCTTCTGGTGGACTGTGTCCAGTTATGTTGTAGGTTCCAGCCCAAACACTCCAAGGAACATTTTGGAACCGTATACAAACACACACAAAAGAAGGCAGAGATAGGAGCAGACCAGATTGTGGGGAGGCTCCAAGCAGCAGCCGTGTCATCTGATTCCCGCAGGGAATTCATAGATCTTGGCTCCAAGATGGCATTCTGGTCAACAGTGTCTGGTTTGCTCAACTTCTGTGCAGGGCGAGAGGTGGCACTGTCCAGGGAAGTGCTTTAGCTCAGCACTTTCTCTGTGCTTTCACAAGCGAGGCATCGTGACGGCTCACCCGACCGTGACTTTTCATCTGATTTCCTTTGGGGCAACTCTAGCTGAAGCCCACGCCCAGGTGTCCCCCACCGCTGGCAAGATGGAAGAGGTCCTGGAGAACAAGTTTCTCTGGTTCCCGAGCATCAGCAGATTCGAGTGCATGTCCGAAGGTAATTGCGTGAGGGAACAAGTTAGCCCTAATCGCGTGGTCTTATGAGCCCCAGTGATAAATGGTGTATGTTCCAATGATTGTAGGAATTTTATTTTCATCTGGTTTTTTATATTGCTATAAATATTTTGCATTTACCAAATAAAGTGTTTGCTATGTAGAGATCATAACTTCTGGGGCCTAAATTTGCTTCAGATGATAGGCAAATTATAGACTACAATATGTGATCAAACATAGTATGCGGAACTTAAATGGAGTGAGCCCTGAGGACGGAGCCTGCTTAAAACTATGGGGGATGGAATAAATGGGAGTTTTAGCAACGCTATCGCTGATTCCAGCAGATAAATTATGCTGTGCCTTTTTGTATCTCTTTGGGACTGTACTACATAAATTATGACCAAATATAATTTAGGCTATCAGCCTATATTTCTGAACATCCATCTTGTACATTTTAAGTACAAAATTACCATTTTGCAGAAGTATAAAATTGAGACAAATTTTTTTCCATCTGTGCATTTAACTTCTGCGTACTTTATAGCAGCTAAAGGGTTCGAAAGGACCTCATTACCATCCGGAGGGGACGTTCGCCCCGCGACTATATAACTGTATTAAGATCTACATAAACGGGAATAAAGTCCGAGGGACAGTGGAATGTGGAATTATATATTCTTTCTTAAATGGAGATGTAACTTTTACATAAAACTGCTCATCGCTGCTTTTCTGAATAAAAGGAACTGTTTATAAATTCAAAGTTGCTGATGGAGGAGGCTGGGTTTATGAAAACTCTTTTCAAATACTCAGAAAGGGCAGGCTCTTGGTGGCAAAAGGCACCTTCAGGAGATCTCTGTGCTATTGGACAAAGGTCTGGCCTGGGACTCTGGTGTGGATCGTGAGGTGGCAGTGGACCCTTGGAGCTTCAGCTTACTGTCCCCCAAGCAAGGTATCTTTGGACTTCTGAGCAATGTGAAAGGGGGCGGTCACACAGCCCCTGTGCTCACCTGTCACGGATGAGGCTTCTTAGCATGACTTCAGATACTGGCTTTTCAGGGGGTCGGGGTATGTGGGGTGCTGCGCGGGACCAGGAATCAGTGAGGCCAGTTGGGGACTGACAGGCTTCCTAACTGTCCTCCCACCAATTGCAAATCTTTGCCACCATCTCCATGGACCACACCAGAGTTTTGTTTTGTTTTGTAAGATCTCAGTGAATTTCCCCTCTGAATCCTTCCTTGCCCCCTGTCCTTTCCCTTACACCAGTGTACTGTTTTTCTTTTTCCTGCATCCCCTCTCTTCCTGGAGGTGCATTTCCCACTCCGTTTTGTCGACCTCCCTGTCTGTTGGTCAGCCCCCCTCCTTCTGATCTTCCCCCCGCTGGCCCAAGTGCACAGCGAATGTCTGTTCCAGCCAAGTGAGGTGGCCTGTGTGTCACCTGCAGTGAGCACGGCGGGGGAAGTGCTGAGGGGCTGATCCAGACTCCATGCTTGTCTTTCTCTTTTTTAACAATTTCAGATGAATATGATGATACAAAGGATTACATTACATTGTTTGTTAGGAATTTCATTTTCGTCTGGTTTTTATATTAAACTGTAGTGGAGCCTTTCACTCGGGGGGTGTGTTGCATGCCTTACACTGTGCCCATTAGGTGGGAGCACACTGATCCTTGTCCCTTCTCCCCTCAACCACTTCTCTCCCCACCACTTGAATTCAATTGTGTTCTTCTCTTGTGTGGGCAGTGTTCAGGGTTCACCTACTGGCTTCATATTAGTATTGAGTACACTGGATACTTGCTCTTCCATTCTTGTAATACTTTACTAAGAAAAACGTGTTTCAGCTCCATCCAGGCAAAGACAAAGATATCAAGCCTTCGTCTCTTTTTATGTCTGGGTAGTATTCCACGGTGTGCCTATTCCACAGTCTATCAATCGATGGGTTGCTGGGCTCTTGGGTTGACTCCACATTTTGGCAATTGTGAATTGAGCTGCGATAAACATACTAGTGCAAATGTCATTATGGTAAAATGATTTTTTCCCCTCAGACTCTATTCATGAAGGGGCTGCAGCCCGGGCAGGGAGGGGACATGGCCAAGTGTGCAGAGAAGGCCCAGCTGAGGGTCCCCGTGCAGCTGGAGGTTTGCATGGTGGTTCTGTGGAGCTGCTCAGAGATGGGAGTGATGGATGCTCGTGGGATCTGTTGCATGTATCAACTACACACTGGATCCTGCTTCCTCAGCAGTTTGGGGAACATCAGATGAGACCAGAGGGAAGGATGGGCCTGTGAAGGGATAGATATCTGTCCCTACTCTGTAAGGTGAAAGTCCCGGCTTGGTTTGGGAGTGAGCACACAACATCTGGGAGGTTGTGGTGGGAACTCCCTTCCATGGTAAGGTCTGGTGGTGTCCATAATGGAGGCTTTCTCATCTTTTATAGAGGACAAACTTACAGGGGCACCTGGGGGACTGTGTTCGGGGTTGGTCCTTCTGAAGGGGCTCTGAACCCACTGCAGACTTGATATTGTCTTGGGTCCCCCAAATTCAGTGAAAATAGGTCCAGCAGAGGAAACTACACTTCTTACATCACTGAGGAAGGATGTGACAAGAGACAGAGCCACTGAAACCTGGGCCTTGGAATTTGCAAAGCCCCGATGTCCCAGCCTTGGGTAGAGGGTGTCACTGCGACCCTCCTTCACTGGCTATTCAGAGTCAGTTTATATGAGCCAGCCATGCTCTACTTCAGAGACTAAGATAGATTGATAGTTTGGAAACCCCATAACAAGATGGACATGCAATAAATAATTTTTAAAAGTTCCAGTTGGTGATAACTTCTGTTCATACTTTCTTGAAAGAATGAAACAGAGCCATCATTTAGAAAGCCACTCAAGTTGGTGGCTGCTCTAGACAGACTGTCAGGGAGTCCCTCTGGAGAAGGTGACCCAGGAGCTCAATCCTGTGAGATGAGGAGGAGCTGGCCTTGGACAGGTGACCGGCAGAGGGAACCACACCAGATGGAGTAAGGATGTAAAGAAGCCACCCCTGCTGGCTACATCCTCGGCCCCTCAGGTGCTCACGGCAGCTCCGGGTCAGCCCCATGAGGAGGCAGGATAGGATGGTGATCAAAGTTCTCTAGATGGGGATCCTGAGGTTCAGAAAAGCTCTGTCACTTTCTCAAAGGCACAGCATCTGGGTGCAGGTGTCCTGGTGACATGTCCTTCCACTGTCCCTCTGCAGTCATAAGGACTAGGAGGTGTCTGCAGTGAGAAGCAAGTGCTGGGTGTCATTTCCAGGTTCATGACTTTGTAAACCATGGGCAGTAATTTTGAGAGCTGAGTAGTATCAACCTTCCCAAAGGGCTGCCTGTTACCACTCTCAGGCTGTGACCTTGTACCTCTATAGGGCTTGCCTCTTTCTTAGAGGCGTGTATGTGAACGGGGGCCCTGTTTGCTCCATGGAACCACCCTATGGCTCCTGTGTGCTCGTAATTCCCCCAAAGCACTGAGCCTAGAAGAGCTGGAGGCTGGCTCTGTGCATCAGCACTTAACTCCTCTCTAGACCAAGAGCTCAGGGTCAGAATGCATGTAAGTGGAGCTCAGCTTTGAGCAAGGTTAGGTGGATGAGACCACACAGTATCACAGGAGATGAGGGTGGCTGACTCTGTTCCTCCCTCAAAAGCCCAAGGTCAGAGCCTGGGTTATCAGAGCTGAGACGTTCTTACCACCTGCAGGTGCTGGGGAATGACCCTTTAATTTGGAATGAGAAATAAATGCACTGGAAATGCACTCATTGGCATTATCAGGACACTTTGCCCCCATGATCAGTCACCCCAGAAAGCTAGACTGTAATCTGAAGCCACACTATCAAATCACCATGAAAAATGTTGTGGACATGAGGT